GTTTTGATTCATGTAAAATTTTGCTTCCACTTCACAATTGTATACCACTTTGTGTTGGTCTTTCACATTAAATTCCAGTGAAATATATTTATTTTTGTGGTTGTAATGTGACAAAATATGGAAAAGTTCAAGGGGTATGAATACTTTTGCAAACCACTTTAAACTCCTCCACTTGAGACAGGGCGACCCCCCTGACCCAGAGAAGGCACTCTGCCCTTTTCCGGCTCAAGACCATGGCCATGACTATGGCTAAATGTAATTATTTATTTCTTATTCCATTTATATATTTCAGTTTTATTTCTAATTATGTCAGTTTCGGCCTTCCATAGACATCGTCTTAAATTAACAGAGCTAACTGAAAATAKGCTGTTAAAGATCTGCAACCTTCTGTTAGGAAAAGTATAAACTTCCGTGGTCAATATTCAATAAACTGACATGTAAGAACATAACTGATTCAGTCTGGAGCTGCAGTGGAAAATCTTTAATCGTGCAACAGACACATCCGAAAACTTCACATCTAATCTGCACATGTTCAGTGTTGGTGTCGAGTTTAAAACGCTCGTCTAGCTGGAAACGTCAAACAACTATCGGTAATCTTCAAGAGCTGCTAAACCTGATCTGTGACCTTTAGGCTGCACGTGGCCACAGAGCTACTTCAACCAACAGAAAACCTTCGACACACACACAGACAGACACACACACGGACAGCAGAAACACACTGCAAAAACAATGCAACAGCAAAAAACATGACTTGAATGACTTCAATGACAGATGATTATGATTTTTTTTTTTCTCAGAGGAAATGACAGCCGAGAAGTTGTGATTTTGATATGTGACTTGTGCAAAMGCTCTGCTTTTCCTCTTTGCTTAAAAAGGTAGATCATGTTTGTCTTCTGAACGTGAACATTCTGCTGTCTGGGTCAAAAATACATCAGCCAGGAGTTTAGAAAAGCTTCTCAACATTAAAGCCATCTTTGTGCAAATAAAACTAAATTAAAGCATTTACCTCSATGGATAGCTTTTAGTCAACTGGTAATTTTTCTTCTCCCATCAGTATTTTTGTTTTAATGTTATAAAAATCAATATATTTATTCTGCTTTGGGACTACAAACAATCCTCGGCCACGACGGTCTGTAACGCCGAGAGGCTTTTGGTCGTCAGGCTGATGAAGAAAAGGCATTTACAGGGAACAAATACAAAACAACAACAGGCTCAAAACAACAATCTGCAGTACCGTCACTATTTGTTCATATTTATCAATAATATAACCTCTTCAAAATGTATGGCTTTTTAAACGYTCTGCCTCTTTTAGAGCTCCCCACCAGGTGAGACAGACGGCTGAACAAGGAGACGAGAAAGCAGCACAAACAAAAACAAGTCTTTTTTCTTTTTTAACAATATAAGCTTCTTTACAATCAGGCACAAAAATAAACACTTTGAAATTTCAGCCTTCATCCGTTGGTCTTTGGTACCATTGCAGAGGTCCAGGTACAGCTGTGGGTCTCAGCAGAACTTCTGGATGCTACAGGACTATCCGTTTTCTTTCCATCTGAATGAAACAAGTGCAGCTGCGGGGCAGACGGCTGCACTGGAAGCAGCTGGATGTTTAGCTTTAGCTTTAGCTGATGTCTCTCAGACGTTTTCAGGATGTTGTCCACGTTGGACCTTCAAAGGCTACATAAATTACCAAACCATTTCAACTGGTTTACTTTACAGTCTGTTTAACAGAACTGATCTGACATTAGCAAACATCTGTAAGAAAAAATAGAGAAAAATCTGAAAATTCTACTTCGGTCTATTTCCTGCCAGATGCAGAAGACGCCCCCTCCCCACAGAAGTTTGGCAGCTGATCTATGGAAAAATAAAAAGCTTTGTGAGGGGGTCACAGATAAACGACTGAAKACTTTTAAAAATGGGTTTTCAGATTGCTTCATGGGACTTGCAGACTTGGAATCTGACATTTCCTGCTCGTGTCCTGATTGCATCTTTGATAAAYGCTGCAACACCAGAAATGTTGAAACAGGTCGACTCGTTTCATTTCCTTTCCTGTTGTGGCTCCCGTCTGATCTTCTTCTTGGCCCTGCTAAGAAATCGTGCACTCAGGCCCAGGAGGAGGTAACGGATAAAGCAGGCTGTAGCATGGAGATGAATCCTTCACCTCCTTATCCCAATCTTATAGAATATCCACTGAGTTTATCATAAAATGGTGTTGGTGGGGAGGCCGGAGTGTGATTATAATCTGTAACCGAGTTGCATGCCCCCTCCCAGATGCGAGTTCAAGTTCATGTCCCAGGGAGTCAGCAGCTGGCTTCRATGGGCGACAGCGTCAGGATGCTGCGATCGTTTGAGTAGAAGTTCTCTGTATCGCTCCAAGACCTAAAAATAGCAGTGGTGAAGGGTTAGGAGGCTGTCTGCGTGTGTGTGTGACATGTGCAGGTGACACAAGACAGTGGTGCTGAGCTGCCGCTACCTATCAAAACATTTTGTGATCAGAATTAATCAGGCTGGAGGAAGCAGAGAAGATGAAAGAATAGATGAGTGAGGAGTTAGTGATGGCTGTGATGAGCTGGTGATGAGTACCAAAAGTCTCTCCTCGTTACTGTCATCAGGTTCGACCTASTTCCTGTTCGTTTCACTTCAATCTCTCTAAATTAGCAGTGAAACATGTCTGTCGTATTTGGCAACAACTAGCTTTCAAAATAAAAGTGAGGAGGAAATAAATATCAGTATATTCAGTTCTGTAGCAGATCAYCACCCTGTACAATATAACAGGGTTCATACACTGTGCCCACAGCACTAAGCCTCAGAGCATCATGACACACACAGTGGTCCTGATGTGAGGAGAGCCCGTCAACAATCTGATACACTGAGCAACTGGATACAATTCTGCAACTTATGGTAGTAATAKGAAACRGACATCTAGAACAGAGATCCTTAACCTATTGGGCCACGAGCGCCACCTTCAGGGCCTCAAAAGAACAACAGTTTTTAACTTTGGGCCACAGAGGTCCGTGGGACCACATTGATTTTGAATAAGGTGTAATACACTTTCTCACCACTAGTAGCAGTAGTGCGCCACTCAGATGTTTAACAACTTTTTTAATATGTAGAAGAAGAAACTTAGTAACCTGCAGAGAATGGAAACTTATTTTAAATGAAAAGTAGAAGTAAAAATGAAAGTAACTCGTAAAAACACCAAAGTTTGTCACTAATATGAAGAGCRGCTTCTGTTTTYACCACGCAATGTTTTAAAAGTTCAAAACATTATCAAATACAGTTGCAGAACTATAGTTTCATTTGCACTTTAAATTGATTTTTGTAGTTTATTTTTAAACAATTTGAATGTATTTTAAAGAAATTTTAAACTTGTCAAAAAAGCTGTAGTTATTGTTTGTCACTAATAAGAAGAGCAGCTTCTGGTTGCAAAAGTTTAAAAAGGCTTTATTTTCATTTGTACTTTATCAAATTTTTACCTTTTTTAATTTGAAACATTTACATTTAAATTTTTTAATTATTCATTTTATGCCCACAATTTTATTTTTTTTAATTGTCTATTTTTGTTATTGTTTATGTTAAAATATAAATATTTTTGTGCTGATAAGCCTGAGTGGTCTGTTGACTGACCTTTGTATTTGTTCAAATAATTGTTGTGGGCAGGTTACAATATAAAAATATTTGTCATAATCATGTCTTGTGATTATTTGACAGGRGTTTTACTTTTAAACTGTAAGTGTATTTAAATTAGTTATGTTAGTTATGAAAGTTTAGTTATTAGTTATTAGATTTAGAATAATTATCATTTTGATCCATCTGGTAATGTGTGACTGGGCTTCGTGTCACTTCATGTTGAACAAATTGGGCGCCGAGGTCAAAAAGGTTAAGAACCACTGATCTAGAAGACACCAGAAGCACACATGACGGAACACTGCCAACAAGCCACAGCTACTTTCTGCCTAATAAACCATCAACTACCTTCACAAGAGTTTTCAATAAAAATATTTTCTCGCTGCACATTTTAAAGTACAGCAGATGACATGAAACCCTAACTCCATCCATCCTTCAAAGAATCGATWTGCAGTTTAACTGTAAAGTGGCAAGCTAGCTTAAATGTAAGACTCCCTCCAGCTACTTCTGCATTGTGGCTCGAGAGCACCGACTCTCCCGTCGTGAAGCGCTGCAGGTCCACCATGCAGATCCCGCAGGAAGCTACTGGAGGATTTGATCCTTGTTTCAGCAGTGTTTCACATCAAGTCAACGGGCAGTAAAATGGAAACCACCTGGCATGTTTTCTCTCACTCAGTAAGTGTTCAAAGTAAGCGTCGTAGCTGTGCCACAGGACAGCGCCGGTCTTCTGCTCACACACTGGTGCTACGAAAAACGAGCAACGAGGCTTTCTGACTTCATTAAAAGTAAAATGATCAATAGTTATTTTGTGCTACAAATCAAACTGTTAATATGCTCTTTATCACAAAACTGTGAAGTCAGAATATCAAGCACTTTTAAGGACTTCATACAGAAACCAAGCACATCAAAGCTTGTTAAAATTCAAGCATTTTTAATGATTTCAAGCACCTGTACGAGCCCTGCTTGTGAGAAACAAATAAAAACCTCAGAATCACACTAGCTTTAACAGAAAAGCTATTTTACTCTCAGCGATTGCCAGGACGTTTTGCACAACCACAACATGTTTCCTAAAACATTCAAATCAAGAGACAAAACAGCAACACCACTGACTTTCAGCTCTGATACACTGCTCTTACACGTGTTGCATTTTGTCCAGTATGTCTGAATGAAGCTAACATATTTCATCATCACAAAACTGTGATGCATCTCATCTTCAAGTGGAACTAAAACATCTGAAATCCACTCTCTTCTCTCGATGTGCCTCTAGCTCGTCTGCCGAGGAGTTCATATCAGACTTCGTTACTCAACACATGAATAAATGAATTAAAATAAAACATGAATAACAAGCTTCAGATTCATTCTCCACTCCAAAATAACCAGTATTTGATTTTCCTGCTGGTGAAATAAACATCTTAAAGGTTAGTCGGCGTCGGATCCATGTTCTAACATATTTATAGTATAAAACGACAAAAGGCACAGTCCTTTTCCATTATTAGCTTATCCAGCTGGATCACTTTAGGAATCAACTAAAACATACATTGAAACTATTACATCCACATTTTGTTACTGGCACCATCAAAGAATGGGAGAGCTATCTAACCAGATACTTGAATTTCTGCAACCATGCCTCCACAATCTTAAAAATGTCTAAATGTCAGCTTTGCTCTCAATGGTTCTCATGACCTTTAAATTAAAAATAACTCAACTAAATAAATAAAAGACAACTGTTTTAAGACTCGGTAAACAGAAAAACAAGGCCGCCCAGGAACTTTAAATAGGTTCATGACTCAAACGGTGGTTTGACTGGAGGCACTAATACGTGCTACAAACCTATCAGGGCCGGGGAAAAAACAAAAAACAACAAAAAAACAACATCTTTGCTCTTCAGGTTAAAATGAGTAAAAAAGTCAAGCCAAGAACAGAAAAAGGAGATTTCTGACTATATCAAGCTCACAAAGACATTAAAATCACATGAATAATTCATCTGGAAGGCAGAACAAACATTATGCAGATTTCAGACACTGAAGGACAAAAGACAGGACAAAAGACAGGACAAAAGACAGGTGAGGAAGTGTGTGAAGGTGGGGCACATATATAACCAGGTACGTTACAAAATACCAAAGGCAGCAGAAGCCCCCATGCAACAAGACAGTCGACATTCTTGTGTTGTAGCTCCTGGAGGACGAGGAGTTTGGGWGAACCACGCCCAGCAGGAACACCAAGAGCTCCAGAACAAGAATGATCTCGATGTTAGCCTCTTCTCTGAAGCACRTATAAGGCTTCGGGAGTTAGTAGAAACAGATTAGTAGATACAGGAAGTAGAAGGGGGAAAAAAAGACTCGCAGAGTACACTTCCCAGCAGCTACACTGGTGGAAGATGTGGTTAGGGCTGCCACAAACCAGTATTTTTATAGTCGACTAATCACCAATTTTTTTTCGATTAGTCGACTAATCAGATCACACGTTAATTGAATATAAAACATAGAGCTTATCGCACCAGAATGCAGCTGCTATTATATAACCATGGTTAAATTTTAGCTATATGCTAACTAAAAATAACTGATGTGGAAGGTAAGTTCTGCTCTGCAGATATTACACAGTTTTCTCTTTCATTTTCTTAAAATGATCCCACACTTTTCAGCTCCGTTGCAGGGTAGCCATGATACCAGAGCCTGTCTGTATAATGTCTTGTGACGTCCACGGCCTACCCCAGTTACCACTACTGTGCATGTGTGTCAAGGACAGAAAGGCAGATGTGGCAGTGGAAGGTGTCAAAGCAGTTTGGAGAGAAAAACAAAGTAAAAAAAAAACCGACTAATCGACTAATTGTGGCAGCCCTAGATGTGGTCCACTTGTCCTCTGAACCAGAACAGTGACGGGGACAGTTTTAGTGAACGCCGCTACCTTTCATTTCGTTTTGTTTTGTTATCTCAAAACTCACAAGTGACTTCAAACGTTTCAGGTGAAATCTGCCTATAATGTACTTTTTTAAAGTGACTTAATTATGCATCTGGTAACTTTTCTCTCTGTCCAGATGTCAAATGTTTTAGTAAAGTTTAATATCCGGATTCAGCTCCTGCTACATGGATGTAATAAAAGCACAGCAGATTGCTGCTATTATCAAAAACATCTTCAACTTGTGACACTCATGCGTGTTTTGCTTTGTTGTCCTCCARCTACGACTGAGCCGGAGGCAGGCATTCAACACTGCAACAACAAGCAAAGGCAAACAGCCAACTYTAACTGCACTTCCAATAAATACTGAATAAATAACTGTATATGATTTCATCAGTAAATATGCTTAATATGTGTTCCTTTAAGTCGTGATGCATATAATACAGGAGCGGGTGGATACCCTTTTCCTTTACGGCAGTATCGTAGCATTAAGGCCAAATGCGGGTGGAGTAGTGCTACTCGCTCAGTTCCTGGTAGTTGACTTTTATTTCCATAAAATAAAGAAATTAAGAAGTTTGACGACGCGTAGACAAAAGGTATTTTGGTTTGCAGATTGTGTGAAAAGAGAACAAAGACAAATTTAGCCACATTTGTTGACTAATCCATGTTCAGTAAAAATCYTACATCTGCAATTCAAGTACTTTTACTGTTTTTCTCTTTTTTAACCGTATGGGTGGAAATAAATTGGTGGTTGTTGATTCACTTACAGGAATCCAATTTATTGCTACGTGCCAGGGTCAGAAAACGGATCAATCTTTCCGCAGGAAGTAATTCATCTAAACTGGATTGTGCATTTAGAGGGAATCACACCCATGAGATTTGTCTTTTCAACAAATGGACACTGCTGGCAATATCTCACGGGTCAATTTGAGAAGTAATGAAAAGGTAAAGATACTAAAGCATCTAACTTAATTTCATCTAAAATGAAAACACCAATTCTCCAATTCTAATTATTTTCTAAAGGTACTACGACAATAAAATCCATCAGAGAGCGGTCAAAGCAGCCAAGCAATCACAAAAGACTTTCCCATATGTGACTGCTGTGACATTATTCTCTGCTTGACTACAGAGTGGTGGTTCTTGGTGTTTGATCAGAATCTCTTATTTTACTGGCATACTGTAACAAACAGACATGCCAACAAAGAACAGGAAWGCCAGATCTTCATCACTGATCTAATCTATTTTGAGTGTCCCARGATGTTTTGAGAAGTATTGATTGCTCAGCAGAAAAGGTTGATCGGTTCAATTAATCAATGAGCCCATAGTCACTGGGATTCAGGTGAAGACACACAATGACAGAAAGTGCAGACGGGGCAAACCTGCAAACTGTGCTCAGCTTGCAGTCTTTAAATCTGCAAAAAAAGATTTCTTTGTTTTACAATCTCCTTTCACAAACCGGACCTCTTTTTGTGCAATAAACTACGAACTTTCCATCATTTTCCATCACAGCTTCCACTTTAGGTATACTCTGAAGTGTATCCAACGAGTTCACATTTTGGTTTAATTTATGATTCGACCAGTAGAGTTACCCTCCACTGGACAAGAGGATCTAAAAAACTTAGATGTGACCCATCACATCGAAACGAGGATTAAGTCTAAAASTTGTATGTGGAGAAATAGACAGATTTAGTATTTTGATTAAAACACTTGCAAAAATTACAATTTGTTAAAATAAAACAAATAAATGTGTTATCAGTGTATCATTTTTAATGAACTGTCTGAAATATTATCCTAAACAAATTTTTTGAAGCACTTTTTTGAGCAATAGCAACAAAAACCCGATTTTGAGGAAAAACACCTTAAAATGTTGAGATTTTCCCTGTAAGCTAACAAATCTTTTGTTTCTTGCCAGTTGGGAAATCTTAATAATTACTATTTGAGGTTTCTTTTTAAAAATGACATTAAAAAATCTTCATTAAAATTACATAAAACTAGGATTTAGACCAAATATTTATGTATTATTGTAGCCAACAAGACAAATTAAATAATATCTCCGGATCTACCAATGATATCAGAATGATCTACGTATCAAAATGTAGCTTTTAAAACCAAGAATCAGAAAATATGATTAGGTCATTTTGGCCAAATTTGAAGTAATCCTCATTTTGATGTGATGAGTCACAGAGTTGACCTGGCACCAACAAGTCAATTTGATGTAGTATTGGTGTCAGATGTCTACGTGCATTATGGATTGTCTACTAAACTGGCTAATCTGTTGGACACCAAACTTTCATTATGTGAATAATAAAGAACAGAGAAGACAATCAGGACAGACAGAACAACAGATCATAGAACTGACAGACATATGAGCTAATACATTGCAGTATGTATGGATTTTTACAGACAAGACAGAGTAGCACTGGATGCACATACATAAGAGACACCAAGCTTTGAACAGATCTCAGTAAAAATACTCCAATCAAACTCTCTCAGCTTGGGCTGACATGAACTCACACCTCCCAACCGCCAGGAGAGCACCACCAGCACAATCTGTTCGTTTGTTGGTCTCAAAGTTTTTGGTTTCGATGCATGTTTGAACACACTCCCTGTATGTTTTGAGGTTAAACACACCACTAAGTCTAATTATCCACTCCACGATTGCAATAGAAATCAAATGCTCGTCATAGTGCCATTTATACCGCTTGATTCATACACCTTCAGCTCTTCTGGCTGTTACTCTGCACTCTAAACCCCAGCCTCAACCGACATCTGCAACTCAGCTTCCTCCACACTTCATGTTCAAACTAATACAAATCCGAGCAAGAAATTACTTACAGTAGAGTTGCAATCAAATCACGAGTTATAACAGTCAGAACTGTGGTTCATACGTTTGACACAGACAGGTGGTAAGGGTTCATCAGAATTCATAATCATTGTTTCTTGTTGTCGTCGCCCTCCCCACCTGTTGAAGCGGCTGGATGCGTGGCAATTGTTGATGCTAGCCTTGCACTGTCCGGTCATTTGTTCCAGGAGCTGGGCCAGGCGGGAACAGCCGCTTTGCCCATGTTGGTAGCAGCACAGGGACTCCACACAGCTGAGGGCCTGCGTCTGGGAGGCTGATAGAGACTAGAGGAGGGAAAAGATGGTGTAAGAGTAGACATAGAGAAAAGGGAGGTAAGTAGTTGGGAGCATGGGTAAGTGAAATTACACAGAAGGTAAGAAGAACAAAAAGGAAAGAAGTGAGCAGAAAAAGAGAAAAGAAAAAGAAATTAAATCGAGGTTAATTTGATCACAGACTGGATGTTATGGATGACTGGAGGATGACACATTGCATGCCGTCTCAGCAATGATAAATTATAGGGAACACGTATAAAACATGCTACACAGAAAACTGAAATAGATGCAAAAACTTTTCCACAAATAAACAAAGAAAATCAAAATTTCTGATTGTTTCACCCTATCGTAAAAGCTGGCTGTATTACAAGTGATTGTTTTTTTCATCTCACAATTAAATTTGTGGAAATATGTTTGAAATTGATATCACATGGCAAGACAAGCTTCTGTTTAGTTGCAAAGCTTGTCTTCTCACTTAGCATCTAATTAACATCAGTCAGAATTAATCACATTCACAGACAGCAGAAGCAACATTCTTGCTTTGTTACAACTTTAAACGATACATTTGTTGCACATATTATACATAACCTGATGTAATTTGTAAATCAAGTAATCCAATGGGTAAATAAACCCACTGGCAATATCTTACTATCTGTGTCAACATCTAAAAGACACAATATGATGGAGAGAAGTGAAAAAAAWTTTTTTCATTGAGACAAAGAGGAAGGATCAGAGTGGAGTTACACAWATGTGTACTGTCAAACAATGCAAAGGCACCAAATAATTAATTAATTACCCACAGACATACAGAGTCCACTGTCCAAAACGTTTAGTGAATTTTTGAAAGTAAAAATTACTCTCATACAGAAAGACGAGTTTGTAATGTCCAGCTTCTTTTAACACAATAAGTAAAACGCTAAAGGTCACAATTCCAGAGTCAAAACAAATACAATAACTACAACTATCTACAATAACTCTTTAGTTAAATGAGTTTGAATAATTGTTCCACACTTAATTTATTGTATTGAAGTCTGGGGGAAAGCATGTAAAACAATTATAAACCCTATTTTTTGTTTTACAGAAAAGAGCTGTAAGAATTATTACTGGAAAACACTACAGTCATCCATCAAATTCATTATTTTGTCAGTTGAAATTGTTGAAATTCTATGAGTTGGTTGATTAAAATATTTTACAGGTATAAGGCTCAYAAATGTATATTACCTTTAAACAACCAATTAAATTTTGTTACGAGGGAAAGTTGTAACCTGAAATGGGTAGAGATGTTTGTGAAACCTGGATTTCGAACCAGTTTGAGGGAGTGGTGTACTTCCATACAAGGAATAAGACTGGAACAATCTGCAGAGTGATGTCAAAAATGCCAGATGATAAAAGTCACTTTGTTAAAGAAATATGAAACAATATAATGTGCATTCATACGAATTGTTGTTCAACAAGGATTTGAGATTGTTTTTGTTTAGTTTTTCGTTTGTAGCAAGGTTATAATAGTTTAGGATTTTTCATTATAATTTAGTTTTATTTCATTTTGACTTTTTTTTCTTTGAATTCAGTTAGTTTTTATTAGTTTTTAGAGTGGATTTGCTAGTTTTTATAYGTTTTTATTGTTTAATGCTTGGTTTTAGTTTAGTTTAGTTTTCATTAGTTCTAGTGTTGGTTTTCTTATAGTTAAAAAAAACATATTTGCCAATGCATGTGGTGTTTCTGAATTAACTAAACAGCAGCCAAAGGTGTAGGAATGAGTTTACTATTGGCGGGGGGGACACATAATATTGGAAACCTGACAGATTAGTACAGTCTGAGCAGAAATATGTCATAAATCAACTACACTGCAAACCTACTGGATCTTTTCTTGGGAAAATGATGATGTGGGTAAACCACCCAACAAAATATCTCGAGTCTAATAGGATTGCACAGCATAATGAATATATTGTCATCACAATGGCAGAGTGTGCAATAATCATATCGCAAAGGACTTCTTGATGCACAATAATTGTTGACTAATGCACGTGAAGAGGTCTGAAGTTGTATTTTTCATGCTAACGCAATATTTAGCCAGTAGGACAGGGTCTCATGGCAGCAAAAGCTCACACCTGACCAAAAATATTAAAAGTCACATAAAATAGGAAGTACATATTAGAAAGAGAGGGGGGGGGGCATAGATCACATCTGATATCATCATTGCAATATTTACAAATATTACTGCCATCAGAAGATTTTCTAATAGAAAATATCTGTTCTGTGTTCCTCTGTCTTACCTGTTGGTCTGCTCCTGTCTCTCCCTCACTCTGACTTCCTGCCTCTGATGTTCCTGCATGACATCATCATGTTTACAACAGAGAACACTACATACTGTAATGTGCAGCACCAGCAAGTGACTTACACAAGCTAAAAGTATCTGTTAAGGTTTTTAATCATACAACTGATTTACAGATGTATGCATTAGCTCTGTTTACAGCTCAACCTACAGTAAAACTTACAGTAAAAGTTTTAACTAATTTATTTCAAGAGCTCCAGCTCTGTACCTCCTCTCCTCTTGTCTCCTTTGTGCAGTCCCTGCATTGCTGCTGCTAAACAAACAAAATGGCTTCAGAGATAAGGTACACTCCTGAACCTAAAGGTGGCTCACTTTAAACTAAAGAAAAAAATTCACGTATTAATCACTATGGAGAAGCATTTCACCAGTTAAATGTACAGAACTCTAGTGGGGTGTTGTTCTGCAGCTAAAGACTTAATCACAACCTAACCCAAACCCTTATAACTGTGGAAATAATGAAAACAAATCAACCTGACATCAGTCCTCACCTGTTCTTTCTGCATCTATTATACTTAATATGGTTTTTAAACAGGACCTCAAACCCTGAAGCTCCACCTGTTCTCCTCACTCTTCAATGAATCAGTTCTTCTTATGATAAAAAAATATGTTTAAAAATCCTCAACAAGCTAATACATGTTTCACTAAACTAATTTCAGACCTCACTTGAACTTCCTCCATCTCTCCACCTTTTATTGCTTTAAATGTCTCAGTACTCTATATACTAAGATGATTCTCCTGATAAGACATTATTGCACATAATATCTAATATAATGTCACACATGTTGATAAACTATGMTCAGGTGTTGCCCTTGTGTGTTATTCACCGGTGTTACTCTAAAAAAACAACAACAACAAATAAGTCCTGCTGCTGCTCTTTCAGTCTTTTTTGCTGGTGGTGGCTTTATACTGGAATGTGCCTGTCTCCTCCTGTCTCCTGTGGGGGACATGTCCCACCCGTCTCCTACTCCTACACCAGCAGCTATTTGGTCACCAGTGAAAGCTGTCCATTATAGGAACACTTTCCTAAAACTAGAGACCGCATAGCGGTAACATACGTAATGACCCCCGCACGCACAAATGCACCAGAACTCAGAAGTCTTTATTCCTAATAAATGTCATGCTACTAGGTGCATCCCAAAATTGTAGTGGTTTGGGTGGGGGGTCTTTTGTTGGTGGGCCTGATGGATAGAGCTTCATTAGAGCTAAACAACAAAAGATATCTTAAGCTCCTATGTTTAATATTTTTTGAGYTRTAASCATTTTTGCATGTCCAGACACCCCATCTTTGAAAGGAGCCCACTCCTCAGATATGGGGTCTATCGTAAAATCGTTGGCTGGCGCAGTGTAGGTCAGYCTCACCTACAGTCCTGCCAAATTTCATGTTGATTGGTGCAGCCGTTTTTGTGCTACGGTTGACCAAAAATCTCCGGAGGGGGGAAAACAAAAAACAAAAACCACAGTACAAAAACAATACGACTCCCGCTTACGCTTCGCGTGCGGGGGTCATAATAATTACGTAACTCAATTTTGCCAACAAAGGACTGGGGTGATTATTTTTGGAAGGTGACGATAGTTTCTCCATCTGGGCGCTACCTGGCTGGGCTGYTGAGAGCTTCTGAGAGAAGCTAGATTGATACTCACAGTTAGCAGTCTTGGGTGAGTTTGATTACGTTTTTTTTCCCCCTTGGGACGTATTCCACCCATTTTATCGCTTCTTTCCACAAGTCACCTGCTTTTATTTTTCTCGCAGTCACGTTAGAAGAAATCCCAAATTAGTCTTTGCTGCTTTCTCCCAACTTTTGTAGTCGTCATGTTGCCGACAGGCGCTGAGCAGCAGATTGTAAACAAATGACGTTATGGGCCATGAGGTGCTGTAAGTCACCCACAGCTAACGTGAAACTGCTCGATGTAAAAAACAAAAAAAATAAATAATTGTTTAATCCGTCCACACGGCTTAAATGAAATAGACAAAAAATAAAATGAAGGATATTCTGTCAATAATTTCAGTTAGTTTTGTAAAAAGATTATACAGTTTCAGT